ACATTTGGCATTCATTGACTGAGCAGTGAGTGAGTGCTACTCGAGTGACACTTTTCTTCACTCCTTGGCCATTGGAGTGAGATCAAAGTGTAGTATCTATTCTCCTCATCTATAATGGTTATGGTAATATTAGCTGTTTTCTTATAAGGAAACATTAATTAACAAAATAGCTAAGTTTCTATTGGTTGAAATTTATAAAATCTTTCTCTTAAAATAATTATTCAGGAAAATAGATTTCTCAAGTCCAGTAGCTGTTATTGCCCTTTCAAGTATTGACAGGGGCTTCCCTTCCTAATTTTTTGTTGTAATTATTTGTTTGTTTGTTTAGCGTCATATCAACTCCTTATGGATCATTTAACGCCAAAATTTGATTTTCTTGGGAGCATTAGTAATTTCATTTAGAAAAATGCATTGCTGGTAATATTTTTTTTTATTTTTTTTTATTTTTTACAAAAATATATTGTTGGTAATTTTAAAAAAAAATATTTTTACAAAAATATATTGTTGGTAATTTAAAAAAAAAATATTTTTACAAAAATGTATTGCTGGTAATTTCTTTTAATATGAAAATGCATTACTGTTATTTTTACTATAAAAATGTATTTTTATACTTTCATAGTGTTTTGACTCCAGTTTGCAGGTTAACTATTTGCCCATAGTTGGGACCCTAATAGGTGCTACCACCCTGGGTTAGAATGGACCTGGGAACAACAGTAATTAAGAGGTGGTTCCATGCTCCTCAAAACCTCCTGACCAGAGTCCTTATGGCTGAATGTAGTTTATCGCCATTTGTTTCAAGTGGAATGGAATGTTAACATTTTGATTATGTCATTATTTTCTCTTTGAGTTTCATGTACTATCCATTTTAGTTGTTGCCGCTATTGGTAGTCCTCAAATGAAGTGGTTTTCTGTTATTTATTTTGTTATTCTGTAGCAACTGTCCATAAGGTTTGAAGCAGGATTGTCTTTGCCAAGACCCTCAGGCTTCATTCACTCAATGTCATTTTTAACTATTGATCTTAGAAAGCGGTTGTATACTGCTGATAGTTTAAATATTTCTGAATGGGTCTGGTGCTGCACATGACTTTCATATGAAACTCTTGATCTAATGGGGCTATTTAAGAACACGATGTGTCAATTGAAGATGATTATGAATCATTTTTAGCAAAAATAAAAATAAAATAGAGATGAGACTGAGAAGATTAATGGAATGATAGGAATAGAAAATACGGAGGAAAAATAACAAAGAAAGAAAAGTTAAAATTTACTTTTGCTGAAATGAGAATTTACCTGAATAACGGATTCTTTTTTTTTTTTTTTAGATGATGTTGCTGACTCGATTCTTCAAACCTTTTATTATTACAATCTGAACAAATAACAAAACTAAATTTAAAAGAAGAAAATTTAAAAACCAAAAAAAATTGTAATGATTCAGGAATTGAATGCTGAATAAGAGTCTGACATAACATCAGTGAGTTTTTGTTTTCTGTTCCATTTTGTATTTTTTCTTTTCTCCCTGAGATCGGGTTGAGGCTTTGAAAATGGATCAGAGATCAAGTCAAATGAAGTTCAGGATCAAATTGAAAAAGAGGATCAATTCAATTGGAAAAAGCGAATCAATAGAAGTCGGAGACAGTCGGATCGACAGATGGAGGAGGGGAATGTGAAAATGGAAAATGTCGATAACGGAAATGCAGAGAAATCAAACAAAAATGATTGGGATATATTGACAAGGGACTAAGTGCATTTACGCAGAATGAGATAAACAGCATTTACAGATATTCTTATCTGATGCTAGGATGGTGATGCTCACGTTTTCATATCTATTTTCTTAATTCAGAATAAAAAAAAAAAAGGTGCTGAACTGAAGCCAAAAACCTATGTGGTGCTGGGTTGGTGATGCACATGTTTTCATATTTATTTTCCTAATTCAGCAAAAGAAAAATAAATAAATTAAAAGAAAAAAATGTACTGATATAAAAGCCAAAAAGCTGTCTGGTGGTGGGATGGTGATGCCCATGTTTTCTTATTTATTGAACTCAGCAGAAAAAAGCAAAAGGAAAAATGTACTGATATGAAAGTAAAAAGTTATGTGGTGCTTGGATGGTGATGCTAATGTTTTCATATTTATTTTCTTAAGTCAAAAAAAAAAAATATTTACTGATCCAAAGCCAAAAAGCTATGTGTTGCTGGGATGGTGATGCTCATGTTTTCATATCTATTTTCCTAACTGAGCAACAAAAAAAATAACAAATTGAAATGAGGAATTATTATATGCTCATTAGGTTGTAAGCTCCCTGAAGAAGGCTGTAGAATACAACAACCAAGATGAGCAGGCATGTCTGAATAGCGAAGCAGATAATGATGGAAATTCATTGTTTTTAGTAGAAAATCATGCAAACTAAGTCATCAGGTATAAAGTTTGAATTCTGGAGTTAATGAAATGTGCTTGATTTGCTCTGGAGATATTAGGATGTTCTTTTCAGATGTTATTTGAGGGAAAGTCGAGAGATTCTACACCATGGAACATTGCAATAAGAGAAACCGGTCGAACAGTGAAAACTGAAAGACAAAACAACTCGTAAAATAATTTCTGTTTCGTTGAAGGTAGCAAGATTAAAATAACATGAAAAGGCCTCCAAAGAAAAGTTAATCATGTTACATACAAGATGAAATTATATATATATATATATATATATATATATATATTGTTATATCTCGTACAAGATATAATAAACAAAGTAAACCCAGTGTGTTTTTTCAATAATAATTTTATAATCGGATGTAGGTATGTCAAAATACAGAGACAGAGTCAGGAGTAAGCTTTCCTCTTCCCCTTACTGTTTACTGTGGTCGTACTTTATCGGCCACCAGACCGTCCATTATCGTGAATGGGGAAGTTGGGTTATCTCATCACAACATATATATATATATATATATATATATATGGAAGTGTTTGTGATTATTTTAAGGTGGGATAGGTTGTTCTGGATAGTGGATGTGACAGAGTTGGTCGGTAGTATTATGATCTGTTTTCTTGTAAATTTTTATTATTACAGATTTTATTATTTTTGTTTCGGTTGTATATTTGGTATGCCTTTCTTCTTGCATTGTGGATGAAATTATAGGGGTATTGTAGGTTTTTGAATGTGTTTTCTATGTATGTTTCTTCTTTAGCTGGCAATATTTATCTAAAGAAACATACACAGAAAACATGTTCAAAAACCTACAATACCCCTATCATTTTATCCACAATGCAAGAAGAAAGGCATACAAAATATACAACCGAAACACTACAGACCAAGTCTGCCATATCCACTATCCAGAACAACCTATCCCATATATATATATATATATATATATATATATATACGGAAAAAACAAACAAAAATCCTAATATGCAATTATGCTGTTTTAATGTTAATATAATGTCAACGTCGGATGTTTCGGTCTAGTAGACTATCTTCAGGACATATTCATAAAGCATAATTAATATTAGACTATATTTAATTCAACATGAAAAGACGATGGACATAAGAGTAAGACTAATCAAAACAGACAACTGAAATTTTTCAAGATCAGTGTTCCGTTTCAATATGATCACGTCGGTGTCACGTGGGTGATGTTGTGAAAACATATTCCTAAAATAGAGTATTTTGAATGAAAAATGAAAAGAATTTTAATCTAAAACTTATATGTACGTTTGTCGAGCATTAATCTTGCTAGAAAAGGGGAAATATTAACTTCATATTTTTTCAAAAATGTTTTGCTGGTAATAATGTATTGCTGGTAATAATTTTTTCCTTCAAAAATATATTGCTGGTAATAATTTTTTACAAAGCATTTCTGATATTAAAACCTATTTTTACACTTTCATAGTGCTTTGACCCCAGTTTAGGGGTTAACTATTTGCCCATAGCTGAGACCCTAACAGGTGCTACCACCCTGGGTCAGAGTGGACCTGGGAACACCAGTAATTAAGAGGTGGTTCCATGTTCCTCAAAACCTCCTGATCAGAGGCCTTGCTGCTGGATGTAGTTTATCATCTTACCCAGGACACAGATGTAGTTTATCATTATACCCAGGACGGAAATAAAGTGGACATTGAAGTCAATACCCAAAGGCAACAGTCTGTTTCATGCTAAATGCAATTTAGGCCATTACTCTTTGTGTGTTCTATCCGACGACAGAAACACAGTCAAGAGATTAAATGTATTTTGTCTGCCCAAAGACAGATACTACACTTTGATCCCAGGCAAATGGTTAGAGAAGAGGGCACAGGTAGTCAGAGCACTTGCTGAAGACAATTAACTGAAGGTAGCTGGCCACCAAGATCCAAGAAAACAACATAAATAAAATGCAATCTTTTTTTTTTTTAAACTAAATTTTCATTGTAAACAAGGCCCAAGAGCCACTCAAGGTAGAGTGTTGCCGAATGAGCTTACTGTATAGATGTACGAGGTGGAAGTAAGTACATATGATGAGGATATATAGGATAGATAACAATTAAGTTTAAAGGTTAAGATTCTAGTAATTGGGAAAGCATCCTCTCAGTTGTTTGTTCCACTTTTTTTGCATGTAACACATTTCACAGAGTAAACAGACGCTGATTTTTGTAGACAGAGCAAACTAATCAAATATTGATTCATATTTTTATGGCTTATCAACCCTTTGCAGGTTATTTAAAGCTAGAAAATATTTTTAGAGATTGTAAGAATTTCTTTGGAGATATTAATGGTTTAGTGAAACAAGTCTTACTAATTAACCCATATCAGGGGGAGAAGAGGTAGATTCATACTTTCCCCAAGTGTATTTGCGAATAAGTGAATGTAACAAACTGAGCAGGAATTACCACTCTGATTAATGATTCTGAGCCATTATCTATTACACAAACTGCCCATCCAACTGACCAGGCTTGATGTTGCTTAACTTCAGTGATTGTAAGGGAACTGGTTTTTCAATGTAATGTGGTCATAAGCCATACCATCCGTACATCTAAGCTTACAGCACCTGGTATTCCCAAGTGTACTCATCTAGGTACTGACCAGGCTTGACGTTGCTTAACTTTTGTGATCATATGGAAACCTGTGTTTCAATATGGAGATTATAATTCCAATAATTCAACATTGGTTTGGAATGTAACCTTTTTTTTTAAAACTATATACCATGTTTTTTTTAAAAACTATCACCATATATGAGGCCAAAGAGCCACTCAAAGAAGAGGGTTGCTGAAGGAACTTAGGGTATGGCTGTAAGAGGAGGAGGAAGTAAATACAGATTATGAGGATTTATAGGATGGAAAACAGTTGAATTTAAGGTTAAGATTGTAAGGATTGGGAAAGCATTCTCTTGGGAGTCTGTTCCACGTTTTTGCATTAATACAACTTTATACTGATTTTTGTAGACAGCAAACTGATGATGATTATAATCCTATTAATTCAGCATTGGTTTGGAATTAAAGACGTCTTTGAATTCATTGAAATAAAACTAAAAGCCTTGCTGTCAAGTGTTGCAGAAAAAATAAGCTTCAAGCAGAAATAAAAGAAAACAACGAGAAAAGAAATTGAACAAAATCAATTTAAAAAATATTAAGAACAAGCCTAGAAGCCACTCTTTGGGCAGAGTCTTTAGTCTTAGCTACTGCACAGGGCTTTTAGGTTTTCAGCCTTTTACCTTCAGCATTCTATGTACGTAAAAGTTATAAGAATTTAGAAATAACAAAATTATTTTTTTGCAATCTATTATATACAGAAGTAGCAGCATAATAAATTTTCTATTCACTGTGTTTAGCATTTAATTTAATATAGAATTAATTTGTTGCCAAATTCGCCATGTGCATAATTAAATTAGCCAGTGTTTAATTTATTAAATATAAAGAAATTGGCTTGATCCTTTTGTATAATAAATAATTATAACAATGTTTTTACTACAATTTATGCTAGGAATTTAGTGCGGAAATCGAAGGCAAGTAAGCTATACATACCATGAAAAAGACACATGAGACAAGATAATTAATTTTTTAATAGTAAAATACCAGACAAATATCAATCTTTGTTCAATTTTACACATTTTGGAGACATCATCTGATCAAATCGCATGGTAATTTGCTAATAAAATCTTTATTTGACACCTTAATTTGGCATAATCATTCTTTGTATACACAACTGATCTCCATAGTTTGTTTACATTTATTTTGTGTGCAATTTTTATTTTCTTTTAAAATCACCATTCTTTATGATTCTTTCACATAAAGTCACTCTTAAAAGACATTAGAGAACCCGAACTATGTAACATTTTGAATACGTTACAGTACACGTTTTCTATGTATGTTTCATCTTTAGCTTCCAATATTTACCTAAAGAAGAAACATACATAAAAAACACATTCAAAAACCTACAATGCCCATATCATTTCATCCACAACACAAGAAGAAAGGCATACAAAATATACATATAATATATATATTTTTTTTTAAGCATTTCACCCCAAGCAAGGTGGGAAGCCATTAGCATGCAAGGGGTTACAGAGAGTTGGAGCGAGAGCAAATAGGAGTGATCGAAGAAAGGAGGAAGAGAAGGATAGGGGATAGATCAAGGCATATGGAGACGTCGATTGACATTACATTTGAATAGTTGGAGATTATAGCTATCAGGGAAACAGGAAGAGGGGAGGGAGATCCACAGGCGAGAAGTGCAAGACATGAAGCTATTGGAGTAGAAGAGACGGCTATATTTAACAGCTTCGACAGTGAAAGGGTGAGAATGAGATGCAAGCCTAGTTGAATGCTTAAATTCATGAAGTCTGGGAACCAGCGAAGGAAATCATTGGTGCAGTTACTGTGAAAGTATTTGTAAAAAAGACAGAGGGAGGCGACGGCACGTCTGTGAGTGAACAGCTGCAAACGAGATGACAGATCAGGGCCAATTACATTGCATATCCGTCTCTGGATTTTATCAAGCACCTTGAGACAAACAGAAGGGGCTCCAGACCATATATGGCAGTAATGCTGCCATGCAAGGGCGAATGGTTGATTTGTAGATTTGAAGGATCGACTCCGGCGAGAAAAATTTCCTGGCGTGGACAAAGCTATTGACTCAATGTATTCATTCCATCTCTGGTCAGCAGACAATGTTAGACCAAGCAAGGATGGTTCTCACTGGTGAGTAACAGAGAGCAGTTTTGTTTTTGAGGCATTAAAGTTAACCAGCCAATATATATATATATATATATATATATATATATGTAATATGTATGTTTATATACGGAATGATTTCCAATAACCAACATTTACTATTAAAAAAGGGTTACTCCAATAAAAGTAGGACGTTTGTACAGATATTTGGGTTTTGAGGGACTTTAAAAAAAAAATTATAACATCAAGTATGTTATAATTTTTTTTTTAAAAAATTCCCTCTTCTATATATATATATATATATATATATATATAGTTTATATATGTATTTATATGAATTTTTTTTTTTGACCCCAATATTTACTCAAAACAGATCATTTTCCCAAAATCAAAAGTTGGGTTTGTCCGATAAGTGACACTAATTGCTGAACAAACGTTTTGTCCATCTGCTTGGGTTTTGCGGGATTCACCATTAACAACTATCTTCAGTGAATTACCAGTTGTCCTCTCTTCCTATTCCTTTCTCTCTTCTGATGATGGTGATGGAGATTGCTGTCAATCAAAGAGAGTTTGAGGAGGCCATTTGCATGAATTTGATTTTGGTGGACAATGATGCACTAGACTCAAAATGGCTGAAATGGGTCAGATTTTCCCAAGAGTCAAAGGTGATTTGTATCTTTTGTAAAAAGACTGATGATCGAATTTTTTCATGTTTAATTGATCATGTAAAGATACATGACTGATGAGTAAATTTTTTCTGCTTGGGTGATCATGGTCACATCTGATGGGTTGTATTTTTGTAGCATTTGAGTTGTATCTTTTGATACATGACTGATGAAATAGATTTTTTCTATTCAGTTATCATGTTCTTTTGATACATGACTGATGACAATTTTTTCAGGCAATCATGTATCGAAAGATACATGACTGATGAGGTAGATTTTTTCATGCTTAGGTGATCATGTATCTTTTGATACATCTGATGAGGTAGATTTTTTCATGCTTAGGTGATCATGTATCTTTTGATACATGACTGATGAGGTAGATTTTTTCATGCTTAGGTGATCATGTATCTTTTGATACATGACTGATGAGGTAGATTTTTTCATGTTTAGGTGATCATGTATCTTTTGATACATCTGATGAGGTAGATTTTTTCATGCTTAGGTGATCATGTATCTTTTGATACATCTGATGAGGTAGATTTTTTCATGCTTAGGTGATCATGTATCTTTTGATACATGACTGATGAAGGTAGAATTTTTTTTCATGTTTAGGTGATCATGTATCTTTTGATACATCTGATGAGGTAGATTTTTTTTCATGCTTAGGTGATCATGTATCTTTTGATACATCTGATGAGGTAGATTTTTTCATGCCACTTAGGTGATCATGTATCTTTTTGATACATGACTGATGAAATAGATTTTTTCATGTTTAGGTGATCATGTATCTTTTGATACATCTGATGAGGTAGATTTTTCATGCTTAGGTGATCATGTATCTTTTGATACATCTGATGAAATAGATTTTTCATGCTTAGGTGATCATGTATCTTTTGATACATGACTGATGAGGTAGATTTTTTCATGTTTAGGTGATCATGTATCTTTTGATACATCTGATGAGGTAGATTTTTTCATGCTTAGGTGATCATGTATCTTTTGATACATCTGATGAGGTAGATTTTTTCATGCTTAGGTGATCATGTATCTTTTGATACATGACTGATAAAATGAGATTTTTTCATGTTAGGTGATCATGTATCTTTTGATACATGACTGATGAAATAGATTTTTCATGTTTAGGTGATCATGTATCTTTTGATACATGACTGATAAGGGGTAGATTTTTTCATGTTTAGGTGATCATGTATCTTTTGATACATCTGATGATGTAGATTTTTTCATGTTTAGGTGATCATGTATCTTTTGATACATCTGATGAGGTAGATTTTTTCATGTTAGGTGATCATGTATCTTTTGATACATGACTGATGAGGTAGATTTTTTCATGCTTAGGTGATCATGTATCTTTTGATACATGACTGATAAGGTAGATTTTTTCCTGCAGCAGTTTGCCATTTCTTTCTGTGGTAGACCAGTTTCCATCCAAGGCTATAGAACTCAGTCGATCCTGCTATTTTAGGATCAATAAGATTCAGTCAGTTATGTGCCATGCATGATACATGCTTAGGTGATCATGTATCTTTTGATACATGACTGATGAGGTAGATTTTTTCCCACAGAAGGTTGCCATTTCTTTCTGCAGTAGACCATTTGCCATCCAAGGCTATTGAACCAGGTCTGACCTGCTATTTACCCATAGCTGGGGGGAGAAAAAGAGGATTCATGCCTTTCCCTTGGGTATTAGCACGTCAGTCAGTCAGTTATGTGCCATGCATGATACATGCTTAGGTGATCATGTATCTTTTTGATACATGACTGATGAGGCAGATTTTTTCCCGCAGTAGGTTGTCATTTCTTTCTGCGGTAGACTAGTTGCTATCCAAGGCTATAGAACCCGGTCTGTCCTGCTATTTACTCATAACTGGGGGGGAGAAGAAGAGGATTCATACCTTTCCCAAAACTGTATTATTAATCCATGTCTCTCATGAGGATTAAACCTGTTCTTCCCTCAACTTTTTGTTCCAGTGTTTCCTTACCGTATTATTAAACAGAACTACAAGCATTATATGAACTTTATAACAGCTGATATGGACCCATTTTGCACTAGAGTCAAAACAGTTTACACCTTTGACAAACGGTAGGCATAGGGCTGGTTTATACCGGAGTCAAAAATCAAGTGCACAGATACTCCGATCCGAGACAGAAGTGCCAATCCATACACAAACAATGTTGCCATTTTCTTATGTCTACTCTGCTTGTACTAATATAAAATCAATTTGTTGCACGATAGAAAATGGGGTGAGTGAATTTAACTTTCTGAAAAAGGCGGAAAAAAATCTCAGAAAACATCAGTAATAAAAGATTCTTCCAATTTTGTTGTCAGAGAAACTTCATAGAGAGTTAAATGCAAAAAGAAGGGAATATTCCAAAGGCAACTGGCAGCAGTACTTAACTGCGCCTTGCATGGTACTGCCAAAAAACAAAATCTGTGACAATGACAAATGCATAGCAAAAAAAAAAAAAAAAAACAAAAAACAAAAAAAAACAGTAACAGATGATAAAAAAAAGAGGACAAGGACAATTCTTATAGATTTTTGCTAATGCACATTGTGCTGACACTTGTCAAGGTTAAAAATGGGTGTAATGACTTTTACATGCTACTGCTTTGGCAGGTAATATAGATATCTGAGAGTGGTTTTGCTTTTGCACGCACTCACTTTTTCAAACAATCCAGACAATTTTTCTCAACAGAATCTGTCTCACATATTTATAAGTCTACCATTCGTTGTTGCTTTGAATATGGCTGCCCTATGTGGTCTGGTGCTCCTGGTATACATTTAGAGATATTTGATAAAATCTGTTGTGTAGAAAGGCGACTGACCTTCTCTACCCTAATTGTCAAACATGGACTTGTCCATTTGCTATGAGAATATCTGCTCATAGGAATGTTCATCGCAAAGTAGACCACAAGGTTTAGTGTTGAGCCATAAGCATTGCTGTACTGAACTATGGTATTCTCTATGACTGTATTATTAATCTGTGTCTCTCATGTGATTAAAGCTGTTCTTTCACTTAACCTTTTGTTCTAGATTCTTCCTTACAGTATTTTTAACTAGAAATATGAGTATTATATAAAATTTATAACAAAATCCAAAGAAGAATCTGCAATTGGTCTTGAGCTAGCATTTCAGATTCAGTCACTTTTCCACAATCATAAAATAGCTTCCCTGTGTGTTTTCTAGAATTACTTTCATGGTAATTGTTCTGATGAACTTTTTAGATCTAGACTTTGAATTTAAGCACATTACTAAATTGGCAACAAGGTCTCGTCATTTTACAGCTGAAATTGTTAGAGGTAACTAAGTTCTATGCTAACAGTTTCTTTTACCACACTTCTTGCTTGTGGAACTCTTTTCTGGTATATATTTAGAGATTCTTGATAAAATCCAAAGAAAAATCTGCAACGTTATTGGTCCTAACCTGGCATCTTGGCTTCAGTCACTTTCCCACTGCCATAATGCAGCTTTCCTGTACATTTTCTATAAATATTTTCATGGTAATTGTTTGGATGACCTTTCCTCTATCGTACCTAGACTTTATGAATTTAAGCAGTGTACTAGATTAGTGGCAAGGTCTCATCATTTTAAAATTGAAATGGTTAAATGTAACTGTAAGTTCTATGCTAACAGTTTCTTCTCTTGCACTTCTCACTTGTGGAACTCTCCTCCAGTTTCTTTGCTTTCCAGTCAAGTGTGATACTCAAAAATTTAAATGCAATGTCAATCATTATCTACTGCCTTCTTTGTGTTCTTTCTCTTTAATAGAATTTTTTTTTTCACATATTCTCTCACACTCAGTAACCCTTTAGGTTTTAGTGGCATTATTGCCTTGTTTGGGATGAAATGATTAAAAAAAAAAATGAAATGAAAATATACAGCAAAATAAGCATAGTACAAATTTTTTTTTTCATTAAAACTTTTGGTTAACAAAAAAATTTAGCAACAAAATTACTGATTAACAAAAAAAACATTTTAACAACAAAAAAAACATTTAACAAAAAAAAAACAATTTAACAAAAAAACATTAACAAAAAAACAAAAAAACATTTAGCAACAAACATTAACAAAAAAACATTTAACAACAAACATTAACAAAAAAACATTTAGCAACAAACATTAACAAAAAAACATTTAGCAACAAACATTAACAAAAAAACATTTAACAACAAACATTAACAAAAAAACATTTAGCAACAAACATTAACAAAAAAACATTTAACAACAAACATTAACAAAAAAACATTTAGCAACAAACATTAACAAAAAAACATTTAGCAACAAACAACATTTATATGTTGTTTCCTGCTTATCACTAACTAAATTGAAAATTGTTATAAAAGTTCATATAACGCTTGTAGCTGCTGGTTAGTAAGATTGTAAGAAAAACACTGGAAACAAAAGGTTGATAGAAGATGGGTTTGGTTATATGAGAACATGGATTGAGAATACAGTAGTTCAGGGTGATAAGTGTACAATTAAAAGTGCATTTTGCCCCTGTTCCATGAGCAGACATTCTACACATAGCAGATGGACGAGTCCATGTTTCAGGAAGAAGTGAAGAGAAAAGTTAGTCAGTCTTTTGACACAACGCTAACAGTTTCTTCTGTCGTACTTCTCACATTTGGAACTCTCTTCCAGCTTCTTGCTTTTGAGTCAAGTTTGATCTTCAAAAATTTAAATACAATGTCAATTGTTATCTTCTGTCTTCTTAATTCTTGTTCTTTTATTGGCCTCTCTCCTTCATGTTTTTTCTCATATTCTCTAACACTCAGTAACCCCTTGCATCTTAGTGGCTTTATTGTCTTGCTTGGGGTGAAACAATTAAAAGAAAAAGATTGCATAATGCAGCAGAGCATAGGAAATGGATTTGTTCTGGGCAATGCTGGGTTTTATTGCTAGTCATTCATTTATCACAGCCAAATAGGGCTATTCTTTTTTTCTTTTCTTTTTTTCAAATTATTTCATATGGTTTAGAAAACATTATCCCATTTTAAAAGAGATAACCATAAATTATTATAACGTTTATATAACGTTCGTAGCTGCTGTAAGGAAAACACTGCAAACAAAACATTAAGTGAAGAAGAGTTTAATCTCAGGAGAACATGGATTGAGAATAAAGTAGTTCAGGGCAACAAGTGTACGACTAAAAAGTGCATTTTGCCTCCGTTCTATGAGCAGACCTTCTACTCATAGTGGATGGACAAGTCCATGTTTCAGTACTAAGCGTAGAGAAGGTTAGTCAGTCTTCCTACATAACAAAAATACAAAGGAGAATTTTTTAAAAAGTGCTAAACAAACACAAAAAATTTTGAAGCAGGTAATTATAAAAAATTCTATTGATAAAAACTAAAAGCTTTAAAACCTTATAAAGCACTGGCATTCTTTATATATAAACAAAATGCATATAGTACAATTCTTTCAGTATGATGGTGTTATAGTGGAACACACCTATTCTATTGTTAATAGACTCTCCCACCTATAATAAGTAGGAGTAGTAGCAGTCGCTCAAAGAGTTGGTCAGTCAGTCGATGTCGGACAACCATTAGTCAGATATTAAAGTATCAGCGACCACAACTAGATTTCTCTGCGTCATTACCTATTATATCAAGTTCGTAACGTTTTGTACGTCGAACCTATTTTAGGACCGACTTAGTGAAATACAAGCCTCCACTGTGCAACTACTCAACAACAGATGCCTTATGCGTTGTCTCTGGGTCCATGCACTACTACCTAAAATGGTATTAGTGAATAAAACCATTTCTTTTCTTGTTCGTTTTATTAGGAGAGAGTGGTAGCAGCTTGGATTCTAAGAGGCAGTGGGAGAAATGAGGTCACAGGAATGCATGTCGCATGTTGGCTCAGTGTCCCTCCGCAGGTGGTCTTAGCCACTTGCTAACCTGGATGTGTGAAGTGTATTGAGGCTCCAGAATTCTTGTGGCATTCTGTTGAATTTGCCTGGTTTTGGAGTTATAGCCAAAACCCACATAAAAGGTAATCTATCACTGTTAAGTTACACACTGACCAATCGCTGACAATTCTAGCCCTGACCATTTGCATTTTGTAACATTTACAGCCACATCACAAAACACCAGTTCTCATATGATCACTGAAGTTAAGCAACATCAAGCCTGGTCAGTACCTAGATGGGTAACTGTTTGGGAATGCCATGTGTTGTAATACTTGTGAAAAATGAATGAAAATTGACAAGGCTTCATCTAATAATAATAATAAAATTCAAGATAATATTACTACTAATACTACTAGTGGAAATAAAGCAATTGAAATATCGATGAAAAGAAATACTAGTGAAAAATGAATAAAAATTGACAAGGCTTCATCTAAATAATAATAAAATTCAAGATAATATTATTACTGAAGAAATAAAAGCAATTGAAAAGAAATACTAGTGAAAAATGAATAAGAATTGACAAGGCTTCATCTAATAATAATAATAAAATTCAAGATAATATTATTACTAATACTACTAGTGGAAATAAAGCAATTGAAATATCGATGAAAGAAATACTAGTGAAAAATGAATAAGAATTGACAAGGCTTCATCTAATAATAATAATAAAATTCAAGATAATATTACTACTAATACTACTAGTGGAAATAAAGCAATTGAAATGAAGATGAAAAGAAATACTAAGGAAAATGAATAAAAATTGAAAGGCTTCATTTAATAATAATAAAATTCAAGATAATACTAAGTGGAAATAAAAAATTGAAATGAAGATGAAAAGAAATACTAAGGAAAAATGAATAAAAATTGAATCATCTAATAATAATAATAAAATTCAAAATAATATTACTACTAATACTACTAGTGGAAACAAAGCAATTGAAATAAAGATGAAAGAAATACTAATGGAAAATGTATAAGAATTGATAATGCTTCTAATAATATAAATTTTAGATAAAAGTGGAAATGGTATTTTGCCAAATTTATATTTAAAAGATGATGAGTCAGTCATCTCTCGTTTCCGTCTTTCCCTCTATCTATTTTGATGCTTGTCTGTGTAGTATTTTCCTATATCTGTTACAAATGCCAGCTAAAAATCCATTACTAACTCTCAATACGACATAAAATGTTCAATATAAAACCTTGACCCTAAGCCTATTTTGTTTTGCATTTCCCCCTCATCAATTCTACATCAATGCGAATCATTTACAAGGGTGTTGGTTGCCCTCTGGTTCTTAAAATGACCCTAAGAATAAGCATTTTCATTCCTCATTTTTGCCTAATTTTATTACTTTCCTTACTACTGTTTCTAATGAAAACTTTTAGGTCAAGTCGACCATCAAGCAATACTTCACTTCCATTGATCAGTGTAATTCCTCAATGAACCATCTTGACTTTTCTTATTTAAATAAAGAGACTGAATGCATGGCTGTTAGCAAAAGGGACAGCCCAACATGCAAATTACAAATTGGAGATGCCAAGATCAAGCGTATGTAACAATTTAGATTACTGTGAAGCATGTAAAACAGAGGACGAAAAGTATGACACTGAAATCTGAAGGCACATTGGGATATTGAAAGATGCCTTCCAAAAGCTGAGCAAAGTATTAAGAAAGAGAAAAATATCATTAGAAACAAAGAAAAGAGTACTGAGACTTACAGACACATCACATTGAAACAACTATTCCTATATGATCTCCAAAGTTAAGCAACATTGAGCTTGGTCAGTACCTAGATGGGTGACTACTTGTGAGAACCAGGTGCTGTAAGCTTGGATGTGCCTGTGGTGTAATGGATAATGGCTTGGAATTAATCAGAGAGCTGAGTTCTAATTCCTGTTGAGTTTGTTGTATTGACTTATGCTTAAATACCCTTGAGAAAGGTGAATCCACTACATCTCCCCCAGCAATGGGTTAATTAGTAAGAGTTGTATCACGAAAACCATTATCATTTTTAAAAGAATAATAAAATGGTGTCAATTTTTTTAGATTTTTGTATAAATAATACATAGAGGTGTTGATATGTTGCTAAACAAAAATAACCAACCAATTAAAGTCTGACAAAAGTTACTCTGAGTATGAAAATCCATGTAAAATTATTCAAAGTGCTTTAACCAAACTGCTTAAATAATAATAAAATTGTCATGAATTAACAAATAGCTAGATATAGGTCTTGTTTACATTCAAGACATAAGGTAAACACAGATTTGATTTACACAAGAGAGAAAATGGTAGACATATATCCAGTTTACAAAAAACACAAATAGGTCCAGTTTACACTAGTCAAAGCAGTAGGCATATGTCTGGTTTGCACAGTCAAAATGATAGACAGAGGTCTGGTTTACATACAAAACAAAACAGTACATATAAGTTCAGTTTACTTGAAGCATAAACATAAGTCCAGTTGACATTAGTATTAAAACAGGAGGCTTAAATCTGGTTGACAAATAGCAGACATAAGTCAAGGTTACACTAGCGGCAAAATGGTAGATAGAGTTCCAGTTGACACACAAGACAAAACACAGACATAGATATGGTTTACACTAGAGTCAAAATGGTTGTCCAGTTTGAGCTAAGAGCCAAAATGTTAGACATGTGGTTTACAATCAAGATAAAATGTACACGTAAGCCTGGTTGACACTAGAACCAAAATGGTAGGCATATATCCAGTTTACATGTTTATAAAGGAAGGACTAGGTCTGATTTACATCACAGTTATAACAGTAGGGTTAGGTCTATGTGACACTCAAAAGAAAATATAGGTATAGTTCCAGTTTACATAGAGTCAAATGGTACAATAGGTTTGGTTTACACTTACGACAAAACAGTAGATATTTACAAACAAAAAATGTACACATCGCTCCAGTTGGCACTAGTATCAAAACATTAAGTATAGGTTTGGTTTACAAATATCAGACATAGGCCCAGTTTATACTACAGTCAAAACAGTAGAGAGAGAGGTCCCATTGACATTTGAAACAAAAAAATATAAACATAGGTCTGGTTTACAATAGTCAAAATGGTAGACATTAGTCCAATTTACAAATAGCAGACATCGGTCCAGTTGATATTTGAAACAAAATGTAGACACAGGTCAAGTTTACATGAGTTAAAATGGTAGACATAGGTCTGCTTTACAATTGAAGCAAAATGTCCACATAGGTTTGGTTGACACTAGAATTAAAATGGTAGACAAATGTCCGCTTAACATTAGAATATAAAAAGGTAGGAATAATTCTGGTTCACATTAGAGACAGAACAGTAGACATTGGTCCAGATGTCACTCAAAACAAGACATAGAGGTTCCAGTTCAAAATGGTAGACATAGGTATGGTTTATACTAGAAACAAAATGGAAGATATAGATTTGGTTTATTTAAAAGAAAACATAGACACAGGTCAAGTTGATACTAGTATCAACACAGTAGGCATAGGTCTGGTTTACAAATAGCAAACATGGGTTCAGGTTATACTAGTGTCAAAATAGTGGACACATGTCTAGTTTATATGCGTGTCTAAAAAGGTAGAAATAGCTCTGGTTTACATTCAAATCAAAATAGTAGATATAGGTCTGGGTGATAGTCAAACTAAGATGTAGACATAGGTCCACTTAACTACAGCAAAAATGGTATATATAGGTCTGGTTTATACTAGTGTCTGTAAATATCTGCCCAGAAGGTGGTTCCTTTTGGCAGGATCTTACTTCTCCGCAGGTGTTGCAGTCAGTATATTTTAAGTACTACCAACAGGGAAATGGGTCTTTTATATGTTGTTTTCCTTCAGGTTGTTGGCAATCATGGCTCTCCACAATTTCCTGTCCTTTATAGCTCTTAATAACTTTTGACTTTTTGCCATCTCTCCTAAACTCTGTTCTGCCATCCATTTGCTCAAACTTGCCAGGTAAGTTGTGTGTTGCTTTTTTCTGGTCCTCTTGCCCTCAAATCTGTCCCATGAGTATCAGATTTTCCAAGCACTCTTTCCTCATTATTTTCCCCAGAAATTTCAAATGTCTCTTCCAGATGTGAGGTATAAGTGTCCTTTTTGTTGCCATTGTCTCTAGAATTTTGTTTTTGTTCACATGTTCAGTCCACTGTATTCTCAGCATCCTTATGTAGAACAACATTTCTGTAGTTTCAACTCTCTTCTTCATATATGAGGAGATTGTTCAGCATTCACTACTATTAATTCAACATAACAGTTCAGTATTTTTTTTTAATAAGATTTGTTTTTTTACAGCTTATCAACCCCTTTCAGGTTACTTAAAGCCAGAAAATATTTTTAGATTGTAAGAATTTTTTTTCCTGGAAATAATAATGTCTTAGCAATACAAGTCTTACTGAGTCAATTCAGGGAAAAGGGGTGGATTCATATCTTTATATCCGATTATTCTTATATGGATTCATACCCAAGGGTATTTGCACATGAATATAATGAACCCTGAGGGAATTGGAACTCTGCTCTCAGATTAACATTTTTGAGCCATTATCCATTACATCACTTGCAGATTCAAGCTTATAACATCTGGCATTCCCAAGCAGTCACCCATCTAGGTACTGACCAGTTTCAACTTTGCTTAACTTTAGTGGTTGTTTGGGAACTAGTGTTTCAATGTGATGTGCCTGTAAGTCTCAGTACTCTTTTCTTTGTTTCTAATGATATTTTTCTCTTTCTTAATACTTTGCTCAGCTTTTGGAAGGCATCTTTCAATATCCCAATGTGCCTTCAGATTTCAGTGTCACACTTTTCGTCCTCTGTTTTACATGCTTCACAGTAATCTAAATTGTTACATACGCTTGATCTTGGCATCTCCAATTTGTAATTTGCATGTTGGGCTGTCCCTTTTGCTAACAGCCATGCATTCAGTCTCTTTATTTAAATAAGAAAAGTCAAGATGGTTCATTGAGGAATTACACTGATCAATGGAAGTGAAGTATTGCTTGATGGTCGACTTGACCTAAAAGTTTTCATTAGAAACAGTAGTAAGGAAACTAATAAAATTAGGCAAAAATGAGGAATGAAAATGTATATTCTTAGGGTCATTTAGGGTCAAGAAAACAGAGGGTATCCAACAGCCTCGAAAAAAGGGGTCAGGTTCAGATGAGTGTAGAATGGATAAGGGTGAAATGCAGAAGAAAAATGTTTAGGGTTAGGAGTCATTGATTTACATTGAAAGTTTATTCTAAAGATAAAACTATTATATGTCATATTAAGAGTGTGTAATGGATTTTTGGCTGGCATTTGTAACAGATATAGGAAAATACTACATAAACAAGCATCAAAATAGAGAGAAAGACGAACGAGACATGACTGACTCATCATTTTTCGGGTATAAATTTGGCAAAGTACCATTTCCACTTTTATCTAAAATTTATATTTTTTATCATTATTAATTCTTATTCATTTTCCATTAGTATTTCTTTCATCTTCATTTCAATTGCTTTATTTCCACTAGTAGTATTAGTAGTAATATCTTGAATTTTATTATTAGATGAAGGCTTGTCAATTCTTATTCATTTTTTAATAGTAACTAGCAGTAGAGCCCGGCGTTGCCCGGGAATGTAACAGTAAGAGATAGATCAAGTATCGACCATCATAAAGACTGAAAAATAAAATTGACAAAGATTATTGTTTAAGTTTGACGGACACGCATGTCTTAATTAGTTTTTTTTTTTTTAAAGCATTCTGAATGTAAAAATAAAGAAAAAAGTGTGCAAGACAATAAGAAACACTACCTGCCAAAAAAAAAAAAAAAGTGAAGTTTTGTTGAAATCGGTTGAAAAATGTAGGAAATCCGATCCCATATATAAACGAACAGACACACACAAACAACCAACCTGGGTTTTATAAGTATAACTCGATATGAGTTGTCCCCTTTTCATTCTCGTGATGCTTCTTAATCGTGTTTTCAAATTGATTTCGTGCAAAAACAATTGTTTTTCTAATTTTTGGTGCTGTTAGAACCACCGCAAGGTAATTTTACGTAGTCCTGTGAAGTTTTGTTGAAATCAGTTGAAAAATGTAGGAAATCCGATCCAATATATAAACGTACAGACACACACACACACACACACACACACACACAATCTGCGTTTTATAATAAGTAAGATATTTTCATATATAATATTTTCAACATAGACCTGTTGTCACAAGTATAAAAAGGACTAGATGTTTACTTGTTGGCTCAATGCCATGTTGGCTGGGGCTTCAGAATATGTTAACTGCACCTCTGCAGAGGTGTAAGCACCCCCCCGCCAAATGAGGCGTCCTGGGTATGCTGATAAACTACATCTGGCTGCAAGTCCTCTGATCAAGAGGTTTTGAGGAGCGTGGAACCACCTCTTAATTGCTGGTGATCCGTGATCCTAGGTCCACCCTGACCAGGGATAGTAGCACCTGTTAAGGTCCCAGCTATGGGCAAATAGCTACCCACCCCAAACTGGGGTCAAAACACTATGAAAGTGTAAAAATAGATTTTAATACCAGCAATACATTTTTGAAGAAAAAAATTATTACCAGCAGCACATTTCTGAAAAAAAAAATTACCAGCAATAAAAATCTTTTTGACATTAAATAACCCAATGCTGTAAAACAAAACAAAAACGAGCTAACAAACTTGTTAGCTCAAGTATAAAAAGGATCAAATGTCTAACTGTTGGCTCAAGTACAAAAAAAGATGAAATGTTAGTTGTTGACTCAAGTATAAAAAGGACTAGACATTTATTTGTTGGCTCAATTATAAAAAGGTCCAAACATTTATCTCACTCAACAAAGA